GATCTTTGGCCATCGCTGCTGGGAGCCGGCCGGGGAGCAGTGCCCCCCAGCACTGACCCCTCTCCTGCCGCCCTCCCCAGGCATCTACGTCTGTGCCAAGTGCGGCCACGAGCTGTTCTCCAGCCATGCGAAGTACGAGCATTCGTCCCCGTGGCCAGCCTTCACCGAGACCGTCCACGAGGACAGCGTGTCCAAGCGCAAGGAGCGGCCGGGGGCTTTAAAGGTGCCGATTCTGAAACCCTTGGGAAGCAGCAAAAAAAATCCCACGGGCTTTTTTTTCATGAGCCTGTCTGCTGAGAAAGACGGCTTGCTGCCGAACCCTCTCCTTGCATTTCTAGGTGTCTTGTGGCAAGTGTGGCAACGGGCTCGGCCATGAGTTCCTCAACGACGGGCCGAAGAGGGGGCAGTCCCGCTTCTGAATATTCAGCAGCTCGCTGAAGTTCGTCCCGAAAGGTACAGGCTGCGGCTTGGCAGCTGTTTCAGCCCACGTAGTTATTTTTGGCGAAGCTGCTGATAGCCAGGCCACGCCGTGCGCGATGCACTGCTTTCGGCGGGGCGTAGCTGGCAGCTCCGATAAGCCAAGGAGCCACTCGCATCCTCAACAAATCTCGCATGCCTCAGTCTGCTCAGCTGGCGGCTCGGCAGGGGCTCCCTGACCTCCCACGGTGAAATGCAGAGTGTGCTGGAGCTCCTGGATGCGGCCGCAGGTCTCCGCGTGTCCGAGGGGCGGCTGAGTGTTGGGGGGTTTTCCGCTAGTGGTGCGAAGCGAGGGCAGGGAGCTCCTGCGGTGGCATAAACGGGGCTGGGAGAATTTGCTGGTTCACCCCTCGTGGAAGTCAGGTGGGAGCTCTGAATATTGCAGCTGCCCTACGGGTAGGGAGCGGGTCTGTGGGGAAGGGCAGGGCCTCTTGCCGTTGTGGTTGTCATGCTGTTTGCTTCCCCAGAGTCAGAAAAAGACTTTGGGAGGCCGAGTTTAGGGCAGCACCCCGGCCACGACTTGCTGTCCTGCTTCTCGGACTGCGATGGTTGTGAGATGTTAGCTGCGTGTAGCAAAATAACCATATAAAAGGGGCTGGGGGTTCTGGAACATTGATTTTTTCCTCCCCCTCTTTTAGGCAAAGCAGACGAGGACCTGAAGGAGAAGTAAGCGAGCTGCTCTACTTGGTACACTGCTCTTGGGCTGATCCTGCGTTCACACCTTGGGGTGCACCCTCCGGTCAAGAGGGCACTGGGAGCAAGAGAAACCCCAAAGAAGCTCCTGGTTTCCCCTGGCCGGTTCCCTCCTCAGGGCTGCTCTGATTCGGGGTGCTGGGAGGAGCACGGAGGAGGCGAGGGGATAACGGGGTTGCTGAAGCTCTGTGCTTGCTGGGTGGTGGGTTGTGTGACCTGCGCCTGAGGGTGTTTCACACAAGTTGGGGTGATGCAAAGGCTACAGCTCTTCATTTTACCCGTCCTTACCCCCTCCCCAACCGTCTGTTCTCCCCAGCATCCTCGCCTCTGCCGGTAGCAGCTACTGCTGGGTCCTTTTGGTTTTGTCCATTAAAGCAGCGCGTGTGCCTGCGGTCCAGCCGCTGCTGAGCTCTGGGGCGGTTTTGCTCTTGACTTCAGCCCAGCCAGGACGCTCTCCAGATCACAGCCAGGAGGGGCCGATTCTGACGTGGCACCGATGCAATCCAGAGTCGCTCCGCTGGCATTTCCAGGGAGCTGGATTAGCTGAGGTCAGAGTCTGTGTTAATCTCTGGTGCTATTCTGGGCTGGGATCATGGTATGAATTGCTCTATATAAACCCTTCCAGGGTGCTAGGGCAAGGATGATTTTATGATCCTGCTAGACAGCATCCAGATATTTCACCCCTCTACCCATCTTGCACACAGCAGAGACAGTTCTAGATTTCTCGTGTCCTCTGGGCTTGATTCTGACTTGGCCTTACACCAGATTTATCACTCTGCTATAAACCCCAGTGGCACTAGCGGTTCCTCCTTGCTGTGCACTGGTGCAGGGGAGGCCAGAATCGGGCTCACGGGCTGCGCTTTGCACAACTCGGGCTTTGGGAATCACGTCTGCATTTCCTCTGCGCTCGGAAGGGCTGCGACACTGATTTCTCCTTAATTCAGCATCTGATTCGTGGCCTTCCCTCCCTGTCCCAGAAACCAAATCCTCCTCTGAAATCAACACGCAAGGATTTTTGAAGACAGCAAAGCTTTTGCTGACCCGTGGGTCTGGTGGTGCAGCTCTAGTGCAACGCGTGAACGGTTTGGTGAGGCTGCGCTGCCGGCGCTGTTACGGTGCGGCTGCGCTCAGGGGCACGTTAGAGGCTTTTCTCTGCATGTATTTTGCCTCAATCCCATCATTACGAGGGCACTGATAAAAATTGCAACGCGCCAGCTCATTACCAGCAGTGAGCTTCAGCTCTTGTACCTCTCGCAATACTGAAAATAAAGCACTGATTCACTGTGTTGGAGAAATAACCTTTTTTTTTTTTTTTTTTTTTTTCCCAAAAGCACTAATGATGGCACCCTGGTGCCTGGTGCATCTGCCCTGGGATTCCTTCTCTGCTCGGTTTTCCAGTTTTGGATGCAAGGATGCGGGGGCTGCGCCGGTGGTGGGATGCGTGCAAGGCAGGCACAAATGCAGGTACAAAGCCCTGGCCAGAAAGCTGAGAGCAGATTTCGTCTGGAGTCTATCTCCAGCTGTGGACCCGGTGGCCTGAGGTGTGGACACAGCCTGTCTTGCACCCAGCATGGTCTCGCAACCCAAAGGGTTGGCCTGAGGTTGGTGCGTGTGGTTTTATCCTGTATCTGTAACCGCTACCCCAGGTTTTGCCATGTGAAAGGGGGATGCTGATGCATTGGAGGCCTTCAGGCATTCCCGGGGTCAAAACTTCCACTGGGGAAGGTTTCCTTTTCGCTCCAGTTAGCATTTTTGCCCAGCTGAAGCTGGTTTTAGGTTGTTTCATATTGTGTTCTTAGTACCGTCTGGGCTGGCAGGATCTTCTGGGCAGAAGGGATATGAGTTTTAGCGGTGCCTCACGATAGTTTCCCCGCATGAAGCTGCCTGCAAGACTGGAAGCTGCAACCCTTCCCTGCCTCCCAGAGGTCTCTTCGCCCCGGCAGCGTTGGATAGTGGGTTCATGGAGGCTGGAGACTTGAGCTGGGCTTTGCCAGACTCCAGTTCCCTCCTCCAAGGGGATGAAGTCTGCTCTGGAGCGCAGGAGCCAGCGCCACGTCTCCCTCCTGCCCTGCCGCTGGCTCGTGCCCCGTGGCATCGCCCTCGCCGCCTTCCCCGTGTGCGGGACGACCTCCGGCTCTAATTACTAATCAGGTTCCAGCCTGAAGGTTCAAGCTGCTTTTCAACCGATTAATCCTCTGATCTGCTGCTTGGCCCCTGGCCTGGCCACCTCCACGTGAGCCCCGGAGGGCAGGACCTGCCCCTTTGCTTCCCACCCTGGAGCACCGTGGGACCGTCCGTCCCCGGGACACCTCCCGCCCCGCTGCCCCCGGCGCTGGGAAGGAAGGTATTTTTTGGGGTGGTTTCCCCTGAGACGCTGCGGTGGAAGGAAACCTCCTTGGGAGTGCCAGCGTCGAGGGGACGGCGGTGATTCCTCCCGCTCGTGGGGGGCTCTCCGGCACCGTGTGCCACGGGGGACGCAGCCACGCTTCCACGCCGCCTTGCAGTTCGCGGACGCAGGCACGGGAGGGTGCAAGTGCTTTTCCTAACCCTTCCCCAGAGCGTTGCGGGGAGGGAAGGACGCGGCTGGGGTGGGCACGGCAGTGGCCTCGCCTTCCCACCCTTGCAGCGACGAGAAGGAAAATTACCCGGAGCCAAAAAAACTCAGGATGGTTTAAATAGGGATGGGACGTTTTCCTGGAAATCTGGCCGGAGCCACCAACGCCAGCAGGGATTTTGGCCAGGGGTATCGGCAGCACCTGGTGCTAAGGGTGCAGGATGCGACCCTGCAGGGCAGATCCCATCCCTAACCCCTTCCTAGCTCTGCCGAGCACCCCCAGCCATCCCGGGCACCGTGGGGTCCCTCGTCCTTCCCCGGACCGCTGCGGGTGCTCGGGGCCGGGGGGAAACCTGCTCTGCCCTTCCCTCGCTCTGCGGCACCGGGCATCCCCATCGCCTCCGCTGGGCTGCGGCCAGTCCTTCCCCTCTGCCATTCATCCTCATTTTATTATTACACTAATGACAATTCTGGCTTAATAAAAGGATTTTGCTTAGTTGGGCAAAAGCGGCCTCACATCAGCGACGCGGGTTTAATGACAGAAATTGAATTATGTTACCAGGCCGACGCAAACTTCCCTGGTTGTTTAAAAAATCATTAATTTCCTCCGCCGTAGCCTCCAGCTGACCTCCCTTTTTAATTTTTTAATTTTTTTATTTGCATGCCATGAAGAGGACCTGCCTCTTTGACCCTCCTCAGGATGGCTCCGGCGGATGGCAAAGCGGCCAGAACACAGCGAGATTTAGATTAATTTTCCTAATAAAGACGACAAGCCCTATAGAAATTACGTTACGCAAGGAAAAAGAAAATGACCTGGAGGCATTAGGAAGCTCTAATTACCATTATTCCTTGGAGCCAGCACGGCGGGAGGAGCGAGCCGGCTGGCCAGGCAGTCCTCTGCCTGCAGCCGGCTGCTTTCACCTGAAATTTTCACTCGTGTTTCAAGTGGGCTGCCCGGCCTCGCAGGGACGGCTCCTTCTTTTCTGTTTGTGTCGTTTTATTTAATTTTACCCTTTGATCGACAGTTTTTCCCACGCCGGCTGAGCCCACGGGCTTCCCCGTGCCGGCAGGTCCGTGGGCATGGTGGCACGCCGAGGGCAGGAGGATGCATCTGGCTGTAAAAATGCACCGAGACCCCAAAGCAGCGCTTTGGGGGTTTTACACGTTGGGGCGTCCCTTGGGGCAGGGAGCACAGCCTGATTTGGGGTGCTCTCGCACAGTCGGGCCCCGGCAAACAGGCACCTTTGGCCCCAGCCGCGACCCCGAGCCGTGCCAAGGTCCCGTCCCGGTGATGGGCAATGGAGCATCAGTTTGCTTAAAAGGGATTATTTGAATTCCTTTTGGGGCTGTGAAAATGCAATAAGGGCCGGAGCTGGTTTTGTGTCAATTACAGAAAACAAGGTGATGATAATTAAGAAACCGCTACACGCCCCTGATTTCCCCGAGACGCGGGGGGCTGTCGGGTGGCGAGGTGCCTCCCCATCGGCCGCCTCGCCCGCTCCGTCCCGGGGAGCTCACCTGTCTCTCAGCACATCCAGCAGCAGCTGGAGAAAATTAAAGGCTTATTCCACTTCAGTCGCCGATAATAACTTCATCTGTCGCTATTCTGGGCTGCCTCCCACCCCGAGACGCTGCTCGCCGGGCGGGGGGCAATCGCTGACCTCGTTCCTGAGGTTTGTTTAATCCGGTTGAACCTCCCAGAGCCACGAGGTGGGGAAATTTGTTTTCGGTTTGTGGTGCGTATTAATTAGGGAGATAATGACTGGAAACATTCAGAGCGAGTCTGAGCGCGCCAGAAAAATGTTTAGCCCAAGGAAAATTTAAATCTTTCTCTTTTTTTCCTTCCCCGGCTGTTGAGATCTCACTTTTTAAGGCAATTAGTGAGGGTTTATTTGTTAATCAGTCATACTTATACGCTTGCTTTGGGGTCTTATCTCATGCTCCCAAGTGCACATCGCTTCTAATCATGATCTTCACTTTTGATGTGGGAGATACCTGTCCCGGGACGGCTGTGCGTGCCGCGGTGCAGGCATGCTCCTGCGCTCGGCAGCGGATGCCGGCTGCACCAGGACACGGCGTGGGCTGATGGTGGTGCTGCCCTTCCCGTGCCCAAAGAGCCGTGTCTACAGCAGGCTCCATCCTCAGCCCAAGCGTATCCCAAGTTTTCGGGGGTGGCTTTCCCTGCGTGGATATCCCAGAGTCTGCCCAGGGTGGGACAAATCACCCCCAGCCAAAACTTCCCATGCTGCAGGCGCAGCCAGAGCCGGTGCCAGCCTCTGAAACGGCAGTGCCGGCACAGGGATGCCTGCAGCGCTCCTGCCCTCCCCGTGCCCCGGCGTGGAGCTGGATGAACCATCCCCAAAACACATCGCCCCTGTGGTCCCTGGGAAAGGCCCCGCCGGGGAAAGCTGCTCTGGGATGTGCCGGCATCGGTCCAGCCTCGCGCCAGCATCTCTCCAGCCCTGTGCGAGCGTCGGTCCTGCCCTGTGCGAGCATCGGTCCAGCCTTGGGAGCATCGGTCCAGCCCTGCGCCAGCATCGGTCCAGCGCCGCGGCTGCTCCCGCGGCCGCCCCGATGGGCCACGACCTGAAAACCCACCGGTGGCAGGTGATGGCCAGCCGGGGCTCTCCTCTCTGCCGAGCCTCGTGGCATGCGCTTTTAAGTGCTACACTTTACTGTCTACAATAATGATTTGTTGCTTGTAAAACCACCGTGATTAACTACAGTTTAGCCTCCTGGTTTCATGTCTTATCATGTTTCATCTCACACAAAAGACATTTACAGTCTATTTTCAACTTCAAAGCAAAAGCTTCTTGCGTGAGCATTAAGGAAGGCAAATATTTAAGCAGAACCTGTATGGTATTAGTGTCTCTTGATGTTCCCTGCTGAGTAAGGATTGATGGCTGCCTCAAAAGGCAGGTTTTTCCTATTGTTTTATACAGCAATGATTACTATTTCATGTTCCCACTGTTATATATTTGCTGGCTGGCACTGGCCTACCCTGACAGTGCTTTCTTCGTGTCTTACATGTCCAGCTTTTTATGCACTTCACTATAGGAAGTGTGACTCTTGGCAGGGTCCTTTGGCCTTAGTGCAGCCTCCTGCCCGAGTTTTTTGAATTAAGTTCATCCTGATGGCGTTAGGGCTGATGGCATGTTCTGCTTCTCCGCCGATATCTCTGTCCTGTTGCCTCACGGTGCTCTGCCCCAGCCAGGACCCCTTCGCTGCCCCAACTTTTGGGTGGGTGCTGCAGGCTGTGTCCCTCCCCACCCGGCCGTGGCCTCGCCTGGATGGGGACAGTGGGGACGGCACCGCCGGGACGGGATCCTGCAGCAGCAGCAGGGTCAGGCTGGATCCTGCCCTACTGTAGCCCTGCAGAGATGGGGGGATACGGATCAGGGGATAAGCCGCTCCCGTCCTTGGTACCACCCTCTGCTTGGTGCCCGCGCGGCACCGGCATCGCCCCAAGCCCATCTCGGCGCTGCCATCACCATGCAGCACCGCCTGTGCCACCCCGGCGGGGTTTCACCTCCCCAGTGCCGGAGGAAGAAACGCCGCGTTCGCACTGGACTCGCCAGCGCTTCTGGACCACAAACCCCGAAAAACCCCTGGGTTCCCGGCCAGCCTTGTCAGGGCAGGGTGAAAATAGCCCAGGACCAAATTCCTCCGCTTTGAACACGATGACACACTGGCGTGCATTTGTCTGAACGCTAAACATATTAAGACCAGGAACTGTAAG